GAAGAGTCAGACGAAGTATTCAAAGATCTCATGGGACGGATTCTCGAGAAAGATCCAGAGAAACGGATCGACATGTTTGGTTTACGAGTGAGTCAATCGCAATTACACTACTCGCCAATACTGACTAGATATAACAGGAACACCCCTGGGTAACGAAGAATGGGATGGATCCTTTGCTGTCATTTGAGGAGAACACGTCGCAAATCATTGAGCCGCCAACAGAGGAGGAGATGGACTCGGCTATTACAACAAACATGGGACATCTTATGACTGTGGTATGTTACCATTTCTCATTTTGAAAAGATATTCATTAACGAAGCCCGCAGATGAAAGCCGTCAAAAAATTCAAGCGACTAACAGATCCCACCAAAGCACAATCCCCCATTCAAAGTACGTTCGGTCAGAGCATTCTGGGCGGAGACCACGATGCCTACCTCGTCGAGCCACCAATGGAAATGGACCCGGACGAGCCATTCCCAGCAGTGGGAGCGGCTCCACAAACACACGACGCTCATGGTTTGCGCGCAAACATGCGCAAAGGCTTCGGCCGGCGTCCGTTTGCCGGGTTCCGAGACGATTCCGGAGTTCTCGGGTCTAGTGATTCAGCCAGCTTTTCATCCCGGCCGGAGCAAAGCCCGAGCAGTAGCAAAAGGCCCAGCGGTGTGTTCGAGCCCGAGCGAAAAGACTCCGGTTCCGTCCGCAGCTGGGGGTCCCCGGCTCAACCGGATATTGGCCATGAAGCTCAACCCCACTCTCAATCGGGATCACCTAGCATCCCCCTCTCGCGAGCAAGCTCGGGTAGAACTAAGCGCAGCCTGGAGGGGACGAGAGGGCATGCCCGTGATCCGCTGGAGGAGGAATTCCCCTACCTCTTCATTGGACCATCTACATACAACGGCTCCTCGCAGCAGGAACCCATGGAAATTAGTGACGAGCCGGGATCTATCCTCCAAGAGCCGGAACATTCAATGGATCCTTATGACCAGATGGAGGATGATGAGCCGGTACAGTTCGTTAGTGAATCGCCCGGCGCTGCAGATTTCAACATCTACGAGACGGCGTACAGGAAGGAACTGGACCGCATCAAGCACAACCTGAAAGACCGTGACACCGGCCCAAAGGTGTATCTGACTCGCTTTATCGAGAAAAACACCGCCGAAATGACGAAACTGGCCAAAGAGAAGGAGTTGGATCTTCAAATTGGGAATAATTTCACTCCTTCTTTGTCGAGAACACCCTCGGGTTTCGGCTCTGCGGTTAGCGCGCTGCGCTCGCAGATGCTGCATAAAAGGCAGGCTGAGGGGTTGGAAGAGCAGGATGGTGACGCAAGTAAAGATAAAGATTCGTCCCAGAATCACGAGCCTCACCCTCATCCTCCGAAACGCCTGTCGCTTTCATCTCAATCTATACCTGAACCTGAACCGTCGTCTCTAGAGGCGACAGGCGTGTCGTCTACGGAGGGGAGCGGTGCTTCCCAGGCACAGCTGCGGCGAATTCTTGATCGAGTTCGTGGAACGTCTTCTAGTGCAGAGTGATAGGCTGGGCGGAAGTTGGTGTGTTGATAGAATTGTGGGAAGCATAGGTTCTTTGTGTAGGGATAGCATTTCATTCAAGGCGTCGAGCAGCTAGTTTTTTTGTTTAATCCTTTCTTTGACCCATATATGCATTACCTTTGAACTGGCAAACATCTTTGAAGAGAGTACTTGGTGATGGGAACGTATATGGCCTACGGGAGCTCAATATATTCCAGAAATTGCGGATGTAAAGCTTGCATAGTTACCATTCCTAGATGAAAATGTTGGAAAAGTTATTTCAATGAAAAAAATAAAATAAATAAAAAGTTATCGCCCGGAGGCGATCCGGCAACTAGAGATCAAACGGCACTCAAGCTAAGGATGGACGGGGATCCATAGTAGCGGTGCCAAATGGTCGCCAACGACAACCGCTGGGCCAAATGCCCGTCCATCCATTCGTACTTATAGCCCAGTGTTATTTATCATACGAAGTGAAGTACAAATAGAAAGTACGCTGTCTGAGTCTGAGAGTTAGAATTCAAGTACATCTGGGTTTATACACATCTACGTATCTCCATCTTGGTTCAGTTGGTTTGATATCAGGGCTCAGCAAGGACTAGTAGTAAAGCAGTATCTACTGTATTGCATGCGGGCTACAAGCTAGGTACGTATGTATGTACATACAATACTATGAAGATCTAGCTTCTAAAACGCTCTACATTAGCAAAAGCCGCATGTAACTTCCATGAGAACGAAGAATAAAGAACGAGAACCAAAGTGATATGTGTGGAATTAAATACTCTCAATTGATTATTAACTAGAGCAAAGAACGTGGGACATCACCCTATAAGGAGAGTCGAGATAAGAAAATAAACAGAAAGCCAAAAGCCAAGATCCAGAAAATTCAAAACAGGAACCAGAATATCATCAAAGATCAGAAATATAGTAGGATAAATTACAAGGTAAATAGGCCTTAAAAATTGAAAGGCCCAAAGAACTGCCATCATCATGTAGCAATAGACATAATGCATCATCGTCATCATCAGATGCATAGCACGCTAGACATTGGGCTGGACTGGAGAGAAAGAAAGGTAGAAAGTAGAAAGTAGAAAGTAGAAAGTAGAAAGTAGAAAGTAGAAAGTAGAAAGTAGAAAGTAGAAAGTATAACTGGAGACAGAAAAAAGAAAGATGCTAGGCATGGAGGGCATCAATTGGCGTAAACGTCTTGTCTTGTCTTAGGTCGCGGTACTTCGACTAGGCTTCACAATATTGAGATTGTGTTTTTGTCTAGGAGACGAGTGGAAAGCAGGAGCAGAAGGAAAGCAATGGAAAGTCTCGCTTGCTTGAATGGGGGCAATGGCGTGAAGATTCAATAGGAAAATCGAATGTCAAGAATATGAAGGCCGTTATCTTCATCGAACGTGGGAGGAATTCGTGGACGCATCAATGGATGTATGAAGGTCACTGTCACAGAGAGAAGGAAAGTAAAAGCATTTCCCATCCCGTGGTCTATGGTCTATCTGACCTTAGGTATATAGTACCTAGGTTGGCAGACACACGGGGATAAAATGAGAGGGTTATGCATGCATGGGGGGTGTTGGATTATTGAGGGAAAGTCGGTGTTGGGATGGGTCGCTTGAAGAGCTTGGAGAAAAACCACACACAATAAACACAACATGAGAACGCTGTCTATTGTTCATCAATGGCTTGATCATTCATTCATGGCGCTTGGGGCCTCAAAAAAACAAAGGCTGAAGTCGAAAGTCGAAAATATAATCGAGACTAGGATCGAAAAATGAAAATGACGATATAAAAAAAGGAAAATATGAATACCAATGGTCATCGGGGAGGTTTCTCGGCTGGTGTCGTGTTCATTCGCCCTTCCGAGTACGGTCCTGGTGGCTGCTCAGGTCGACTAGTGACCGAGTCCCGCCGACCACTGTCTGGCGGGGAGAATCGGTCTGCTGCGAAGCTGTAGGGCCGCTCGGTCGGGTTGCTGAATCTAGGGAACGCATCTGGGGGGCCTAGTTGCAAGGCGTGTGGTGAAGGGAGGGGATGGCCCATCTCTGTTGGCCGGGGTAGTTCGCGCATGTTAGGGCCCATGGCACGGCCTGGCATATCGCGACGCTCGTCATTTGACGCGGGACCGGGACCAGGTGGTGGAACTGCTGAGCGCATGGTCGAAGTATCGTAGAGCATTGAGTTTGGGACAGGCTTGGGTCCGTGGAATGGTTGAGGTGCTGGCGGGAATGGTGTGGACGATGGGCCTGCCGCGGGGCTAGTCGGTGATGGAGGCACTTTGAGTCTACCAGACCCTGACCGTCGAGGAGCAGGGTAAGTTTCACCACGGGCCTCGGCTAGAAGCTTGCGTCGCTCGGTCTCTGCTTTGCTTGGGCGTCCTCGTTTACGGGGTGGTTCGCCGGGGCCGAGATCTAATCTTGGAGAGAGCTGGGCCGATGCTCCGCTTTCGCTGCTGTAGGAGGCGGTACTGGCTGGTGGCCTTGGTTGGATTGCACGAGGAATTGGCTTGTCGGAAGGATGCAATGGTCGTTTGCGCATCGCGCTTGGGTCCATTGGGGCTGGCGGGCCGGTCATATCGGATCGCGGTGGAAACGGAACCACAGAATGTGTTGGAGGGTGCACAGGCTGCTGAACCATATTGAGATAGGCCGTTTTGCACGAGCTGAGTGAACGGCCTTGACCGGGGCAGGTGTTAGCGCCATGTTGATATCGATCTGCAAAGCCTTTTTCTCCTCTTTTTCTTTTTTCTGCTTTGGCCGGCAATTGGACAATAATACCTTGAGGAAGGGGAATATGCTCCCAGTTTGGAGTGATTCCACAATCTTTAATCATGCGTACTAAATAGCTGGAAGGAATTCCAGCTTTCTTGAGGATCTCAGTGAGTAGAGTGTACTGTTTTGGTCAGCATCAAATTCACACCCGGGCAAGAAATCCATACCTTGTCCTCCTCGGTCCATGGCCTATCAGATGGATTTGACATATCCAGATCATGGAAGCGGATTATAGCCGGCTTCCCTTTCCCTCCGAAAAAGAAAGTAATATAAAAGAAAGAAAGAAAAGAAGAAGGAAAACAAAAAAAAAAAACAAAAACAAAAACAAAGAAAGCCTCCCAGATTATGATCCCGGAAAAAGGACAGCGAACAGGAGTCGTCAGGGTCGTGATACACAATTCAGATCAATTGATCTCTCATTTAGGTCGGAGAGGAAAAGCGAAGAGAGTGAGAGAGAAAGAATTAAAAAAAAAAAATCAATCAAAAGACACGCGCCAACAGAGAACGAGAGGAGGTCTCTTATGTCCCCATATCCTCTCACGCGGAGACGAAACAAAAGGGATGACAGAGGAAAACGAGTGATCTAACAATTGAAGGCTTTCTAGCCAAAGAAAATGAAAAAAGAGCAGTAGAACCAAACTCCATTCAAAAATCCTTCGATTATTTTTTAGGGATTTTTTTGCAGGAAGATTTTCTAGCCAAACGGACTTGAGCAGCCGGGATCGCGCAGGAGACCAGCGTTCGGGAGGAAAGCTGCAGGGACGATGTTTTCTGGAGAGTATTACAGTACAGGTTAGAAGGATATGGGTAAAGTACCAAGCATACCAGGTGAATAGAGGGAAATGGGCGTTTCAGCCGGGACCAGTTTCATATGTTTTCCAGAAGAGTTTCGAAGAAGGGCAAAATTACCACTAAGGAAGACCGGGAAGCGGGGAGACTGGATTTCTGATTCCTCCGAAAGTACAATCGAGGGGTTGAGAGGAGTGGGGGCTGCATTTGCATCGAACGGATGGGGAGGTCTTTTGCATATGGTCATTTGGGGAGAATGCCTAGGCAATATACGGAGAACGGGATGTATAAGATAGGCTTAGATTCAGCCGAATTGCATCGTTGGTTCGGGAAACGGTTGGCCCTGGCAGTTCCAGAACCAAGGGACAATTGAGGAAGAGTTATTTCTTGTTTTCTTTTTTTGGGGCCATTTTAGTGCATGATTTTGGTTTCGTCGTGTTCTTTTCCGGTAAACAGTGGAATCATGGAGCTGAAAGTGGATTTTGATAGGTGAACAGCATTGGCCTGGGACGTTGGAACAGACAGAAAGAAAAAAAAAAAATTTTGATTTTGTTTGAAGCTAGCATCAGGGGCGGTTAGAGTGGGCGATCGTACAGGAAAGAAGAAAAAAAGCGCGTCTGTCATGCAGCGGGTGGTTCTGATGAAAATGGGTCAGGACGATTGGTAGAGACGAGCCGAGTGGATAGGGGGACTCCGCCGAGGTGCAGCCATGAGGTTCAAGTTGGTAAAATACGAGTAATTTGGATCAGGAGAAGATCATAGGAGAGTAGAAGTAGAAGTAGAGGTAGAAGTGAGGAAGTGAGGAAGTGAAGTCAAGTAGAAGACATGGATGACAGAGAATTATAGCCTCAGGCATATATATATATATATACTCTAATCCCATAGATCTATATATCACATCTATCACATATACTATCACATTATATTCTATTATTTATAAAAAACAATGGTATTAAACCAAGATAAATAAATAACATAAATAAATAACATAAAAATTAAAATTAATTAATTAATCACTGAGTACATATGTAAGTACGGAGTATACAAGTTGGAACGCACAGACTCTTCCACGTTGACGAACAACACATGCAGACGCGCTTTTTCCTGCTTTCTCCTCCAATCGATTTCTCGTTGCTGAAATTTCACAGACTTGTATGCATTCTGACCTTTCCCCTTTTCAGCTCTTTCGGTCATTATTTTTTTAATATCACTTTTAGGCTTATGCTGTCAGCCTTTGAAGGCTCCAGGGCTGATAACTCCGGTCACACTTCCCGGGAATCATGATCAGAACATCCAAAGACATAAAATGTTAAAAAACACAATTGGGATCGAGGAAAGACTATTGTCACTCTCCCATTACTCTACCAGAGTTGTCCATCACCTATTCAAGGTATGCTCTTATGAGCCGTTTAAGGGACTGAGCTCAACCTCCCAAGAACCACCCCTATACACAACCAGAGGTGAAAATTCAGAGGTCACCCAGGCCACCCAGGTCACCTAGGTCCATACAAGACTATACAAAACAAATGAGACTAGGCTCAAGGCGGTGAGAGACGCGCAAAATGACAACAATAGCTTCGAATTGAGTCAAATTAGGAGATTTTTATCAATGAGATTGTTCCCTTTACCGCTCTGGCAACCCCCTTGATTCCCGAGGGCATATCCTGGCAGAATCATCCCCGAACTTCGTATTCTTGCTTTATTTTCTTCTCCTACTCTCTACCTCTTTCCTTCTCTCCATATCTCCCAATCGTAGTCCGTGTCGTCATGTCTGCTCATGACCACGCGGACTCTGAAGAGCCTGCCAAAATGGAGCGGCACTCTCCGGTAAACGGCAATCGTTTGAAAAACGGCGACTCGCGTACCTCTCGATCTCCTCTTCCGAAAAAGGAGTCCTCCCCCAACTCCGACGCATCCGATACAATGAAGGAAAACGTCGGCGAGATCGTTCTTAAACAGGAACCGGGCCAACCGCTTAAGCTGTCTCGCAGCTCGTCGCAAAAAGTCGCGTCGCGACCTCCGCCGCTGTACACGCACCTGCCCGATAGCACCCAGGATGCGCTCGCCACCTTTGAACAGATCCCCGGCTGTATCTACGCCAACAAATACATGGGATATACCGAACATGCCATGGAATGTGATTGCGCTGAAGAGTGGGGTAAGTTTTGGTTTTCGAGTAGCCTCGCTGTCTTTTCTTGCCCGATTCCCAAGAGGGCATCTCGCACTTTGGCATGATTGAACATCCGCGAGCATATCACTGATCCACTCTTGTAGACCCGAAGCTTGGTCAAAATATCGCGTGTGGTGAGGATTCAGACTGTATCAACCGCGCGACCAAGATCGAATGTGCGGGCGACTGCGGCTGTGGCTCCGACTGTCAAAACCAGCGGTTTCAAAAAAGACAATTTGCACCGGTCTCCGTTATCAAAACAGAAAAAAAAGGATTCGGTTTACGCGCGGAAAAGCACCTCGACCCGGGCGAATTGATTTACGAATATGTCGGTGAAGTCGTGGGAGAACAGCAATTTCGAAAGCGCATGAGGCAATACGATGAGGAAGGTATCAAGCACTTTTACTTTATGTCTTTGAACAAGGGTGAATTTGTCGATGCGACCAAGCGAGGCAACCTGGGACGATTCTGCAATCACTCGTGCAATCCCAATTGCTACGTTGACAAATGGGTTGTGGGCGAAAAGTTACGGATGGGAATCTTCGCCGAACGCGCCGTTCAGGCCGGTGAGGAGCTGGTTTTCAACTACAATGTTGACCGGTACGGTGCCGACCCCCAGCCCTGCTATTGTGGGGAGCCGATGTGCACGGGGTTCATTGGCGGACGCACTCAGACTGAGCGTGCGACCAAGCTGTCGAATGCAACTATCGAGGCTCTTGGTATTGACGAGGCCGATGGCTGGGATACTGTGGTGGCGAAACGCCCAAAGAAGAAGAAGATGGAAGAGGACGACGAGGAGTATGTGGACAGTGTGCAGCCCAAGTCGCTGGATGAAGACGGTGTGACCAAGGTCATGGCGGCTCTGGTGCAGTGCCAGGAGAAGTGGATCGCGGTCAAACTGCTAGGCCGTATCCAGCGCTGTGACGACGAACGTGTTCGCAATCGCGTAGTCAGAATGCACGGATACCAGATCCTGAACTCCCAGCTCGCTCAGTGGAAGGAAGACCAGAACGTGGTTCTGCAGATCCTGAACATCCTCGACGGGTTCCCGCGACTCACCCGGAACAAGATCCAGGACTCCAAGATTGAGACGAACATCCGACCGTTGACGACCTGTGAGGATGAGCGCGTCGCGAAGAAAGCAGTTGCCCTTCTCGAGAGTTGGGCTGGTCTGGAAGTCGCCTACCGAATCCCACGAATGAAACGCGGCAAGGACGCGAAACAGGCAATCAACCAATTCGAGCGCCGCGAAACTGGACAGGAGCAGCGTCAGCGATCTCTTACTCGGTCTCCGTCTCCTGCGTACGATCCTCCTCGTGGACCGGTGCAGCAACGAAGAGACAGAGGTCCTCAGCGACCCAGACAACCCAACCGCCGTGGTCCTCGGCCATTGCCTGAGGGATGGTATACTGCGGAGGCCGAGGGCCGCGTTTACTACTACTCTGCATCGGGCAAGACCACATGGGAACGGCCAACTTTGCCTGCTACTCCTGCTACTCCTGCGCTGGGTCAGCCTGCCAAGAATCAACAGAATTTAGCACTGCAGAGTATCATTGACGGGATTATGAACACCCAGGAGGACACACCCTCTGAGCACCGAACTGATACACCTGTGACTCCTCGACCTTCCGCCGATCAAATAGAGAGAAAACACAAAGATGGAGAGAAGTGGAGGAAGCTTCCGTTGGAGAAACAGAAGAGAATCTATGAGAACACTGTGAGTGTTTCCGCAGAACACGAGATATAACCGGACTAACACAGCCCAGCTTTTCCCGCATATCAAGCCCGTTGTGGATCAGTACAAGCACAAAATCCCTGACCACCATCTGAAACGATTTGCTAAGGAGGTAAGATCACGGACGCTCACTTTCGATTCTGTGTCCGATGAGATGTAATTATGCTAACGTTCTCTACCAATAGACTGCGAAGAAGCTTGTTGAAAGCGATTACAAAAACAATCGTGTCAAGGATCCCACTGCAAAGATCTCCACGAAGCATCAGCAAACCGTTAAAAGTTACTGCAAGACCTTCTTCCGTAAGGCCGCAGCCAAATACATGGATCGCGAGAAGCTCGAGAGCGAGAAGTCACAGGATGCCACCCCGAACCCCGGAAACGAAGTTCACAGCATAGGCGACAATGCAGCCGTCGCCGGTGCACCTGCAAGTTCTCCTCTGGAAGACGATGACGCCGCGTCCCTCAAACGCAAGCGAAACGGGGCCCTGAATGTCGACGGTGCTGAAGACGGATCCGCTTCTCCCTCCAAACGACAGAAATCCACACCTCCACCCCCTCCTCCTCCGCCCCCTCCAGCCGATCTTCCTGAAGATGACGCCGATGGTGATACCAGCATGGGAAACACCGGAGCCGACCCTTCACCTTCGAAAGACGACTCTGGCGCTGCAGTCGACGTCAACATGGAGGTAGAAGCGGAGAATGGACCACAAACGGAGCAACCTCAGCTCAGTATTGAGGGACAGGTATAATCAACTCTAGTGATTCTTGTCTTATTTTGTGCTTGTGCATCAATACCCAAAAGCGAGTAAAAAAGCGAGAGAGTCGGAAGAAGGTGGAGGGATTGAAACTGATATCTCAAAAACCTGCATTACCTTTGCTTCTAACGTGTTCTTTTGTGCCATTGTTATCTTTTTTTTTTTTGCTTTCTATTGCTTTCTATGCTGTCGACAATACCCCCGAGCCCAAGTGCCACTATCATAGTTTGCATCATTTCAGCCTGTGTTGAGCTGTAAGCTTCATTCTTTTGAGATCTATTCCATACAGAATATCTAAAGCTATATAAGACTAAGACCATCTCAATGATCAATATTCTCAAATGTCAACATCTATATCTCGATTAATTTTTTTTCAAAAATCTTTTAATGCTACACATTCCATCCGTCATGCATAATTCATTCGAGTATGTGCAAGCATAGGCATTACAGACTCCCAAAGAAAGACCCACCAGACCGAACAGAGCAGAGAACACAGAAGCCGAACAGGCCAAAAAAAAAAAGAAGAATACCAGTACTTTCAATCAAAAAATCATTCCAGCGTGAAAATAAGAACAGGACCATGTACGGTAGAGGGTTCATCAGAAAGTGCCAATCGGAAAGATCGCAACAAATCTAGTAGAAACTCTCCACAATACTATCCTTATTAACACCGGCACCACCGGCACCACCGGGCGCCATCTCGCCGAGTCGGAACACAGACTCGACAACGCTCAGCTCGGTGGCTGTGGTGTCCAGTCCGGTAATAGCGAGCCAGTCGTTGACGACCATTCCGGCGCCGACGACGGGAGATCCGCGGTTCACACTGCCGGCCACGAGGGGAACTTGCAGGAGGGAGGAGAGCTCGTCCTGGTCGCGGATTGAGGTCTTGGGGTGAACGATTCCACCTTGGTTTGAGAGGGCCATGTAAGAGCCTGTGAGGACATTGTCGGCTACTGTTTGGCGGAAGACTTCTACGCCGAGGACGTCGGCGATGCTGGGGGGAAAGAGATATGTTAGTTTTGGAAGAAGGAAGGGAAAAAAAACGCGGGTAAGAATGTTTGAAATGGAATGGAATGGGGAGGGCAGGTATTCAGGGTGTTGGAAGCGCTTTATTGTTACTCACATCTCCTCGGTCTCACGCTCCAGATCGGGGTGCACGATTGCAACGTGATCGTTGCAGCAAATGACGTTGCCAAGCGCGGAGAGGCGCTCTTCTATGCGTTGGATTTTGACTTCGGACGGAAGCGTGTTGCGCAGGTGTTGCAATTCTTGGTCTGTGGTGGTTGTGGGGACGAGGAGACCTTTGCGGTTACTGAGGGCGAGATATTAGCATTTGCTTTTTCTTCTTGATAAATGTTTCCCCTCCCGCCAGAAAAAGGCTGTTCGGCTTGAACTAGGTCTGGTTATGTCCGACTCACCCGACGATTAGACGACCGACAATGCGGGTTCCGGCGATGGTTGCGTGGCAGATGGGAATGACATCTTGGAGTTCGGATTCGAAGACACTGGATTTGCGTGTTAGTTGGGGTTGTTCATGGGTGTATCGGGGTAGAGGTTAGAGATTGAGATTTGAAACGGCACGGTATTGGCGATGGTATATGCCTTAGCACTTCCCAATCCTATCAATGCCAGTCTAAAATTCCAATCCCCAGCCCCTCACCCTTCCGAATGTCTGAATAACACACCTGTAGAAGTTCTCCGAAGCACCAACCGCAACGATAGCGTAGGCATTTGTCAGGCAAGAGAAAACGCCGACCCTAAATGGAAATTGTCAGCCTGACTCCTACACATCCTTTGCTTGAAGTATCTTACTCGTTCGAGTTCTCGAATTGCGCGCGAACAGCCATAATGTTCAGAGTATCAGAAGATGTTGCAAAGAGCAGGGTTGGGAAAAAGTGTGCGGTGTGGAGCGGGGTAGCGAAAAGCGAACTAGCCGATGCAACAGAAACAAAAACTGTGATTTGAAATTAAGAAATCAAAGAATCTAAGGATTTGCAGAATGAAGCCGAGTGATAAATAAATTGGCAGAGACGTGCGATCCAACTGAAAAAAGACCAAAAGCTCGGGCGAATCAGAGCGTCGGCTGAGTTTGCCCCGCCGGAGCCGCAGAGGCGAGGTTGGTGGGTTGATAGAATGTACTGGTACTTTGTTTATTATGGGATATGGTATGGTAAACTAAGTACCACTACCTCGTTCCCTACTGACTCATTCTGTCTCATCTTGACGATGATTCATTCGACTTCATTTGTTCAAGTATTTCAAGTATTTCTATTGATTATTTATTCATATTCCACATGTCAGTCATAGTCATACACAGCCACACATACCTTGGCTAGAACATGATGCCACATGCCAACCCTAGTCATCCTACTTAATCTATACCTTTATACTTCCTTTACAAGATCATTGAGAAGATTGGATATTGTATACTAGAATTCTGTTGCCATGGTGTGTATTGCTAACACAGCCAGCTCGATCTCCTTGATCCTGCTCAAAAAGACTAGTCACACGTGGTCATGGCCGAGAAAGCCATAGAACAGGAGTGTAGAGCCTACAAAACGTTTGATTCATCAAGTGCCTCAAGTAGCAGCCCAGTAATCTGACACCCATGCTACAAAAAAGCATGGCAAGGCTTGTATCCCGCTCGCAACTCGTCCAATGGCTCCAACGACGAATAGATACTCGCTCCCAAAAAAGTGTACCGCCCGGCGCGAGCTGGTTTAAGTTGTTCTCTTCCTCACTCCACATCTTCTTCTGCAACGTTCTCTACACCGCTCTATTAGGAGAATTCCTGGTATCAGACTCTAGGGGTGTTTGGTTTAGATGTATACCATAGAGAAATTGAACTTAAATATCGAAAATGGATCAAATTGAAGAGCTTTAGTAATATACCCAATGGGATTATCATATCCTGTCGCATCAGGGTATGTGCCACCAACTGCGGGCAGGGACTGTGTGAGAGGATCTTGCCCTCATCCGAGAACGTGTGTCGAAATGTCCCATTGGGAAACTGATGGGCCTGGGTGACATGGTCAGCCTGCTTGCGTACCTATGGAAACCAACACGGACACTCGTATTGATTTGAAAACTTTCGAACCACCCCTGCACAAGCGCAGCATATAATGCTGGTGCAAGCCATTCGTAGGGAATCTCCGACATCAGCCACCTACGGTGTTTGCTAAAAGATCGGGGCAATCGGATTCGGGCAATCTGATTGTGGATTCGCGACTACAACTTGAGCGATCTTTTTCATCCTATCCGCGATGAATGTTACGCCTTTAATCTCATAGAAGCACACATGGGTAAGGCGGGACGAGGTACGACAATTCAGTCGAGTGACATCCTCGAGGCTGCACTGGTTGCATCCAAACGGATCCCTCATTGTTCACTACCTTGTCTATGATGAAACCAGGTAGATCTGTGGTGCGAATCTTCAAGACCGATGGCATCCAAAAGTGGTAGAGAGTCAATGGCCTGCATCCTATTGGTAAGCACGATCAGGAAAGTCATGTCTTTTCGTCAAGCCATACCTAAACTGCCACATTGATGAGGTGCTGTTTCTCAAGCCGAACATCGGTCTCTGTGGAATATTTCGGGGATCGTTGGAAAATGTAATTGAAGGGTATGGTGAATGGATATTAGGAGACTGTGGTTTTATCACCAGTCTTTTCGATCACACAAGATTGAAAGAGATGGGGATGTGGAACATTCGAGTTCCACTCCCAGGTCTCCATTTCGAACTGGGGCTTGTTTCGGTTGACTTTGAGGGTGATGGCCATGTCTGCCTCGCCTCTGACGGGGTCTACCCACACACTCTCCTTTAACTTATGGGGTATGGTTGAAGGAGAGGGGAATCATCGTGGACGAATCCTGTCTTTAGTGGATCGACTTCGTCTCACGGATTAGTTTGGTGGGTGGTATCTATATAGTACTGCGGAGTAGCAGAGGATAATTAGTATATTGAAATACGTACTCTGAGGACTTTCAAAAGCAGTCCGCACAAAGAAACATCAGACAAGGACGAGCCGAAGCAATTTGTGGCAAAGGGGTGGGGCTTTCGTTGTATCAAGAAACAGGAAAGCCAGCCGCTCTGGTGTAGCAGTTGTTAGCTGCCATTTCACGCCATTGTTGATGGGCGACTTTATCATTGAGAGCGATGCCTGCTCTTCGACAGAGTATGAGAGAGCGATTACATGCTCTGCCTCTACCTTGTACCTTTCAACAGCATGACGAGTCGCGAATAAGCATAGCGGTGCTCATGGCATGCATCTCCTCCCGAACATGCCGAGGATGTACGGAAGTCTCATGGCTGTTTGGGTTGATGCGTTGGCTCTGGCGATGGCATAGTTGATGCTAACTAGCAGCTTGTTGGCCAGGTTGGCGCCAATTTTCCGGAGACTCAGACTGATCCATCGGTGCACTTGTAATGCTCCCGGCAAGCACCATCGCCGTTCCAGTGGCAGCTGGCTATTTCCCGGTGCCCGGTTCAAGAAAGTGGGATGCGTGACAGAAGTAAGAAAGTTGAGAGAGGTGAGAGGTGAGTAGAGGTAAGATGTAGAGGATGAGAAGTGGAAAGATTAAATATAGCAGGATGATATAGGCTTCCTGTCGAAGATTGCTTCTGGGGTCTTCTCTTATTATGTCTTCCCTCACATTACTATTTATTGGCCTCATTTGAATATCTCTCTGTGCTCACTTCCTGCTCATTTTTACTTTCAGTTTGAACATGCTTTGCTTTGACATTCACATGTCTCATCACTAACTACTTACTATTTCCATCTTACATCCCACCTCATACAGAAATCAATTCAAACGAGAGAAAAAAAACTCTATTCATTCTGATGCCCTCCCCCCCTATCCCCACTCAGGGGGGAGGACATCGCAACTAAACATACAAAAAAAGAATTGGTATCAACTGCGGGGAACGCTACATAAACATCTTGGTACAAGCCGGCGGGTCTAGTACCCGCGCGGCGGGGGCGGGGGGTGCGATCCGGGCGGCGGCGGCGGCGGGAAGTACAGGGAGGGCGCATGGCCCTGGGGCATGTAGCCCGGCAGGGGCAGGCGCGCGAAGTTGGAGCCCGGAGGAGGGGGCAGCTGCGGCGGCCCGTTCATCGCGAACGGGTCCGGCAGGCCCATCCCCAACCCCAGCTGCTGGCGGGCGGGGAGAAGGCGCCGCGGCTGCTGGGTTGGGGTGGGCCGTGGGAGAATGAAGGACCGCGGGTCTGTTGGCCCGTGGCCGTGGAGGGAGGAGGGAGGAGGGCCCGGGTGAGCGTGGGTGGGCTGGGGGAGGAGAGCACGGTGGTGGGTGCCGGGGTCGGTGCGCATCATTGGGAGGTGTTGTGGCAGGGGCTCGGTCAGAGCCGCATCTGCCAGAATGGAAAGTGCACGTGGGTGCACTGGGAAATCAGCGGTGCCATCGTAGCCGACGACCTTGCCAGTCGCCTCTTGGTCCTGGATGTAGGTTGCTGCATGAAGTATGCTGCCGAAGACATCCTTGGCACACATTCGCAGAGCGTCTTCGTCGGTCATTTCTGTTGGTGCGATCTCCTCGTGCAAGCGGCCCATCCGTACTCTCTGGACGAATTCATCCCATCCCTCATCCGCTGCCACAAAGTCAACTGCCCCCTCCGGGTCTCGAACAGTTTCGGCTGCAAATCCACGCTCCACCTGTCTTACCGCCGTCTCGCCATCTCGGAAAAGAAATTGCTTCACGGATACTTCTGAATCCGATGTGTCGTACTGGAGACGGGTTAGCTGCGTATTCGTTTTTTGAAAGACTTCAGTGCACTTACCTCGGTGTGCTCATCATCCTCGGCCACCCTGCGGCCCTGGATCAGGGCCATCATCTTGCCCATAAGCATTGTAAGCGTCTCCTCTTGGACTTGCTCGATGAGTAGCTGTTTCCATAGGTTAGAATCCTTCAGTAATGAGATGAGACAAATAAAATGCAAACTTACCCTTGAGGTATCTTTGATAATGTGAACATTGGCCTCATACTTTCGAGTCTCCAACTCGGTGTTCGCCTTGTGTTCGTTGTTTAATCTTTCAATTGCCTTGCGTTCGTACTCATCCAGATCCCGCTGGACTTGTTCAAATTCGGGACAGTCTTTGTGAACATATTTATCGCGAGCAAGTCTGTGCATGGTCTGATCGGCCATGAAACTCAATGCAATATGCTGCGCCTGGCCAACCTTCTTGAACAGCACAGACATTTCCTCCTGGCGGGTTTTTGTGGGCATTGATTCAGGAGTAGGTGATGGGGTGGGACCACGCCAATTTTCGGTGGCGTCCCAGATCTCGTCTTCGATTTTCTTGCCGCGTTTGATAATGGTGGCCTTGGCGCGGCCACGTCCTCGACCACCACGAGGCTTGGTGACTGCTGTAGGCCGGATTGGGCCAACAAATCCACCGCGGCCTCCGCGACCTCGGCCCCGGCCACGTCCTCGACCGCGGCCGCCACGGGCCCCTCGACCTCCACGGCCTCCTCTAACAGTGGGGTTGTAAGCAGGGAGGTCGAATTCTTCTGAAGGAATAGGGATGTCCTCGGGAGAGGTTTCATTTTGAGTATCAAGCTCTGTGCCATTTTGGAAGTGGCTCTCTGGAGTCTCTTCGAGTTCAGTCTCATCAACGCGAAGCTTTTTGTTCATAAGATCTTTGGAATCAACATCCGGGTTTTCATTTCGCAGCTCGAGTGACTTCCGCTTGCGCGCAAGTCGGGGCGAAGACACCGCACTGAATGGCGCTGCTTCAATCTGGGAAATATTGGGACTTTGACCGATGGGAGTTTCCTCAGCCTTTGCTTTGGCTGGCTCTGAGATGTCATTCATGTTATTGTTCATATCGTCGACCATGGAATCAGCAGGATCGATTTGAGTAGCTCCAGGCGACACGGGGGCTGAAGCAACCATGCGAGGTTCAGGGGATTGAGAGATTTTTTGGAAGGGAGGTTCGGATTTGAATTCCTCATCATAGTGGTCAGAGTCCATGTCATCATCTGGCTCGGTGATTTGATTATCAACAGCCTTGGTTGGCGAGACATCTTCTTCGAAGGCGCCATCTCCATCCGGCTTTAGTCTTGCTGACTGCCGGGTGGTCCGTGAAGACTCAGGAACAGTCCTAGGATGCCGAGGACGCCGAGTGCGAGGGGTCTCTGGGTTTTGTGAGACGGCAATTGCGTCTTCATTTTCCTCATAGACATCAGAAGCTGATTCAGCATGTTGAATTAGTTTGAGTGGGGAAATTTTTAATTTGATGATGCGCGAGCGAACTTCTGGTCTGCTCGATGATTCATTAGAAGGAAGATGGCCAGGAAGACTGGCGCGGCCACGGCCGCGACCACGTCCTCTGCCTCGACCTCTTCCACGAGTAGTAGTGGAAACTGGAATGGTATCTATACATGAGGTCAGAGATTGGACCGATAGCGCCGACTTATATGAACTTACCTTGTGCAGTGCGCCCAGATCGCGTAGAGATACTAGGAGTCCTGGCAACAGGCTGTGCAGCCGCGCGATTCTTCTTTCTTCCCACCATCGCTGTTGGTCTGGAGAAAATCAGTTTTGAACGGGGAAAATTGATCCAGTAGCAGCAAGGGGGTGAGCGGGAAATCAGGGAGAGGGCAAATTGAACAGTAAATCAAATGTAGGATACATCATCGCATTTAAAAAAAAAAAACAGTACAGTGGGTTCAAAGGGGGAAAAATAGTAGAAAAAGGGAAAAAAAAAAAGTACAAGTCGCGTTGCCAAATGCAGAATGCAGAAAGGAAACGTCACTGTTGGTAGCAGTGGAAAAAAAGGCTTGGCAGGAAAAGCACGAAGTAGAGATACACGCGATTAAAGATCCGAAGATCAGAAGATCAAAAGATCGCAAAGGTCCCAAAAGGCCCAAAGAACCTCAAGGCCAAGATCAAGGAGACAGGGTTTTTAAGGCGTCAAGGATAGGGAAAACAAGGGAAATTGGAAGGGAGAGAGATGTGACAAGCAGTCCAGATTCATGAAATCACTTACCAAAGCGATGGATTTGGGAAAAAGATGCGAAGTAAAAAGAGAAAACGCAGAGATCTACTGCAGGATTTGACCGGGTGGATGGGGAAAACGGGGCCAAGTAAAAAAAAAACGGGGGGGAGGGAAGGGAAGAAGACAGAGAACAGACAGAGATGGTAGGAACGGAACCGAAGGAGTAGAAATAAAAAGAACACGGGGAATATGAGGAATGAGTAAGAAAGATGAAGTAGAAAAAGTAGAAAAGGCGAGTAAGAAGAGAGAAGATGAGAAGAGAAAAAGGTCGAGAGAGTAGAAGAAAGGGAAAAGGTCAAAACAAGTTGATTATGGGATATAGCTAAACCTTGGATTCTTCTCCCATATATAACAATAAGAGACAATACTATAACAATATGTCTATAATGATACTATTCGAATGCTCAATTCAAATCTATTCTATTAGAAGAATCCTTATTCTTTGGTCTATTGGTCTATTGAGCATCGGTGACTTTTCCGTGACTCGGCGGAGGCTCGGGAACTAGAATAGCATACATCAATACATTATACACCAATGAACTATACATTTCATTCATCCTATTACTTCTGCCTAAGAACTATAGAGTCCTTTATACTACTCCGTAGGTGATCGTGTACTCCATACTCCATACGTGTATTTCCGATCCCCAGCCACTTCCGGCACACACCTACCGGAGTATTTGGCTCCATGAACATAAAAGAGTTTACGTGTCTAGTATCTAGATAATGCTGATAGTATGCTAATATTGTCTATCTTTTCGATTTAATGATCTTTATGGATCTTCATATTCATATTCATATTCATATTCTATATAATATACTATGCTCTCTTCTATATCCCTTCCCCCTACAGAAAAAATATACGGACCCACTTGGTCTGAGTCGGTGACAGCAACGCATGCGGATGACCTACAATGTACTCTATACGGAGAATACTATGCTATTGGCTTTAATAATTATTATAAATATTTCCACGATTATACTCCGTACTATGATTTTCAATAGAGGATGTGTCTGTTCCTTCAAGGTGCTCTAGTCCACGTCATCCCTAGCTTCTAGCACAAATCGTATACTATTGCTTTTTTTCGCCACACATGTCAAGTATGATTAACGTGGGAAAACACTTCATTAACTGACCATAGAATGAAAGGAAATTTCCAGGTGTTATGTAATACAAAGGCGCAATTAGAAAATACAAGTCGCAATTGAAGCCACATTTACTACTCAACTCAAATATATATATATACTTTCACCGGTTCAGTATGTGCAATCGCAATTCATTTCAAAATATCCAATTATATCACCCACCCATTCCCTATATACACAAATATATCCAAAAGCCCATCCATCATATACAAAACAAAAAGCAGAAGGCCAAAAGCCAAAAAAAAAAAAAAAAAAAAGGAAAACATTGCAAGTCATACAGATCACGATGTACCGAAGTAGATCAATCACTTTTCATAAGGGGATTCGTTCAAGTCATATCTCTTCTTAGCAAAACCACCTCGAGTCGGATTCGGTCTCATGCGGAACGTTTCTTCCGACTCCACCCCAGGTAACGGGGAAGGCGTACGCATCGCTTGGTCACGGAGGGAGCGGGCAGATCTCATGCGCGTGATCGTGCCTGGGGTGATGGTCTGTCCGGCGCTCGGTGAGGCTTTGACCATTGTGCCCGCTGTAAATGTCGGGGATGGACATGGGCTTGTTGAGCGAAATAGAGGGTGGATGTTGTCCTCGCTGAATGGGTTGTATTCCCACGTTGAGCTGTTGGAAGTGGACTGCGTTGGGGAGTCGACGCGGATTGTGGACGCTGTTGGTGAAGGCATTGGTGGGTGTACTAGACTGTCTAAGGAGAGTGCGGTTGGTGGGTTGCGGCGTAGGCTGGGCATGCTGCGGATGCTGTGGGGGCCTCGGAGGAGGGAGCGAGTGTCCCGGTCTGGGAGGGTGTCTGGCCTTCTTTCCCGTGTTGGGGATGGGCTTGGTGAGGTGTGGGTTGAGGAATTTGTGTCGATGGAAGCGTGCTTTTCTTCCTTTGTGCTTGAAGGACAGATTGTTGCGTCTGAGTAGTGGCTGGACCGCCGAGGGAATTTGCGGAGTGACGATCTTTTGGGTTCAAATAGCTCGGACAAGTCGCATACTCGAGGGGGAGATGGGAGGAAATTAGGGCTTTGTGGGATATCCTTGAGCTCCAGGGAGTAGGGCTCTTCGGGGTAGGCACGCGGCCATTCAGGGTTGGATTTCTCCTGGACTAGTGTCATCGCGAAGAATCCACAGTACAAGCCTTGTGCGAACACTGACAGTGTCCAGAACACAGAGCGAACCACAAAGATCGAGGCTTGAGGGCTCATGGCCATTGCTCCGGCAGATGCTGCAGCGGCAATAAGTAGACATCCGCCGGCGAAATAGATGCATTGTTGGCGGCCGGTTTGAATGTTTTGTCGGTGCAGCAGACCGAGGGCAATCAAAGCTACGCAGCTCACTGCACTTAGGATAGTCGTGGCCACATCGGGCGAGGCTTTCGAAGTTGCATAGCAGATTCCATTAAGAATGGTGACAATGGATGTTACGAGCAGGGAGGCCGCCGCCAGTGAGTAAGATAGACATGACATGACAATGAAAAAGAGAGAAAGACTTGGGCAAAAAGAATGGCCTGGATGTATATCAAAAGAGAATAAGAGAGTGTGGAGATGTCAAACGTTGGCAGAATGCCAATCCCAGACGTTTACCAATGCACGCAATGAGTGTAAGGAATCTATAGATTTCATGAGAGGGAAGATGTCGATATTTATGAGTTGAGCGTGCGTGAACGCACAAGAGGGTTCGCAACACGGGACGGGGCGATGCGGATCTCAGCGTGGCTCAAAGTATATCGGGGAAGCAGTCTCAACCCTGCCAATTTCTTTCCCCCAAAGAGATCGGTCTGATCCATCATTCCAGCATGATGGTTAAACTTTTGTAGATAAAATGTCGATTGGCCGAGGTAGAGAAATCCCGCTGGAGATGCATAATTGTGTGTGGATATTGGCAATTGTCGTATTTCTAACTATAGAGGCGAAGCCATGGCGCCTAATTCTGGGGTAGGGCCTCTGCCTAGACCTGTCCTGCAGAGTAGTAATCCGATAGCTTGGTTAATCTCACTATAACAATGGCACTATTCAATCTGATCCATCAGTCTTGTGGATTAATACCGCTCAGTCGAGGTGGCAGATCCTCTCTCGATCTCAATAGTGCGGACCAAATGTGATGTATCTCTCTCCCTTGCGAGAGAAAGTCCCCGCGCTCCCCTGGATCGAGGTTAGACCGGGCAGAGCTAAAGTATAGTGTGGGTTTGACCAAATTCAAAATCCTACTTTGTAGATTTTATAGATCCATATTCCATACTCACAGAGGCACAGACGGGATATCATGACCTGTCCTGCAGGAATGGAGTATACGGGGTGGATTGTCTTGAGGTCTACCTGTGATTCGGTCAATGTCTTTCCAGATGAAGTCTGTCGCATGCAATTGATAGTATTTGTCAAATTTTAATTAATAGATTTGGTGTGTTTTGTGGATTTTTCATATGTATCCTTTTTCCGTGTGGGTATATGTGCAATGTACGTGTGCTACTTACTTGAGAGGCAATAGTGGCGCTTAATACTTACTGTATTATATAGGAGATCAACAGTACCGATTATTCATTCTAGAAAAGCCTTCAATGTCATTGAGACCAAAATGGGACATAGATCTGCATCCCCAACCTATGAACTCTCGATGTCTGCCTGGGATGTTGTCATCGAGGCGGCCGCCAGACAACCAGCTTGAAATCAAATGGGGTAGACCTGAGTTATGATATGTGCATATGTGCCCATGGAGAGAGAGCTGTGCACAATAACAACAAGAATAGCCCCAGATCAAGAGATCCTTTGGACAAGTTGCCCGGTGAAGTTGCCATGGCTTGCTGGTTGAGTAGATCCTGGTCCCTGGTTATAGTTAGATAGAAAAGTCTCTTGCACAAAGTATGCTTTTTACCGTCTTCACATTTAAACGGAAACCTCAAAAGATATCGCAAAAGATATCTCAAAAGATATCTCAAAAGACATCTAAAAAGAACATCCAAAGGCGCAAGAGGCAAACTATTCTTGTGGAAGTAAATCCGAAGGCGGTCACCGTACTCGTTTGCTATCGATCATCATCACTCTAAATGCTCCCCTCCAACTTTCTTTTCCCTCTCTTCGACTTTTCTTCGACTTCATCGCTGAGAGGATCCTTTGCATCAACTACTCTCCCTCTCTCCTATCTCAATTCGTCATCTGCTCCCCTTGCCCCTTTTCTCCCTGGTTTTACTTCAAAGCGGCAAAATGAAGCTCACTTTCAAGGTACGTTTTGAAAACTTGCTCTTGGGGTCCTCACAGCCACAGACTGCTGACAATCATCGACCCATAGGACCTGAAGCAGGAGAAGTTTGTCATCGATGTCGAACCTTCTGAGACTGTACGTTTGTTCCCCCCCTTCGCTACAACTAGCCAGCGTCATCG